TCTAGACCTTTCCACCCAAACTGAGAAATCACACCGTCAGATTTGCCGGGTTCTTCAGCAGATGATGTATCACAGATCACCATGTAGCTGGGTTTACCATCTAGTAGGTCCCCGTGTATAGCTCCAAGAGGTGGAGAATCAGCTTCCTGTACCGTCACCTTAGCACTCGGGTCTGCTTTCAGATAGGAGAAGTCAGCTGTCATGTACACTTTTCCTTGGTATGTGTACCAAGCTTTGTCACCAATAGCCTTGGCTGGGATCGTGCCATGAGGAGTGTTTGCTAAAACGCACCAAGAATGAATTCTTCCCTCTATTATTCCATTCTGTACATCATACTTAAAACCCAACATAAATTTTTCGTCGGGGGCTAACTCATTGTTGGATACCAGTTCATAGTAGATCGGCATTCTTGGCCTTACTCCTTTTCAATGGAAATACTGTTAGAAATAATTTATGAGGTCAAAGAAATAGATTCTTTAAATCAATAAATATTCAAATCTAGTCAGATACTACATCATATTCATGTTCTAAAATTATTTGTTATATTATATTAGTAGTGTTGAAAGTTTTTAACGCTATATAATACTTTCAACACTAGGTGCTATATGGACACGTTCATTTGAGTTTGAGGATATTGGTAAATATAAGTGACCCTTTAAAAGGCACAGTGTAGTTGACTTTGTCTCACTATGAAATTACACAAACCCTTGATGGTTAGGATAATCGTCTCATCCTCTTGGCTAACTTTGTCACATAACGATATTTTAATCAGGTGATAAGATATTGTTTAAATACGGCCGGCACGGAAATGGTTACATTGTCACACTATAAACATGTGACGGAGTAAATATGGACCCCTTGCTGCCATTTTTGACCAAATTTTTGAGTGTCCAGTTGATTGGATGGGTACATATGACCATTACCTACATATTTGACGAATTTTTCGTTAGATGGTGCACTCAGGTTTACTCTGTCACACATTTAAGAAAATATGTGAAGAATATTTAGGGCACCCTGATAAGCAATACTGAGCAATGTAGGTTTATTTGATGGCCTGGAAGTGCTAGGAATTGTTATTATATCATTTAGTCGTGAGGAATTTAAACACAGAAGGCACAAACAAGTTTACTTTGTCACATAATCTTGATGATATCTGAACATGTGTGAAATTGAAAAAATAATGATATACTAGCTTAAAGCCCTTATAATACGTACTATGGATCAAACAATACTGCTAGTACCATGCACCAGTCACATAAATCATTATCGGGTGGTAATATGTTAACTGTGTTACAATTAAACTACCGCAACATGGTCAAAAATAGGGTAATTTCGTGACAAAAAAATTATTATAACTCTGTTAGCTCCTTGCTGGCAAAATAACTAGTTAGTCGAAATTTTTTTGATGATAAAGTAACATAGTATTCTAATAGAGGTATAGTTCTTCAAAATAGGGGCAAGACATGTTTACTTTGTCACATCAGTTATTATAAGAGTTAGGTAATCGTCATCAGATATTTATGAAATTTCTCTCGAAATTGATTTTATAGTTGTTTCTAATAGAGGGGAGTGATATCTATCTGCTACTTTTGGTCCCATGGAAAAATATTGTTCCTAGACGAAATTATTACCGGTCAAAGGTCAGTGCTCATGTGTAATTGTATTGCGCAAGCGATTTTCAATCGCGCGCCCTGAAAATCGAATCTAAAGATCTATCTTTTCCTACATTTTTTGAGCAATCACCTTGAAACTTTCAGGATATGTTCTAAGGACCATTTAGAAGATTTCACTCTTTTTACAATTTCGAGGCCTTTACAAATTTTTTATTCGATTTTGAAAATCTTGGACCTCTTTTTTTGACGATTTTTCCGGGTCAACAGATCTTTTTCGTAGTTTGGATCGATTAATATAGGCAATAAAGCATCCTATGCCAATTTTAACACACTATCTTGATACTGTTGGGGGAGGGAAAGTTAATTTTGTCACATTTTCAGTGTCTTTGACAAATTAATCTAAAATTGTTAAACTTGAGCTCTGATGTTCTGGACAATATTCTACCAATCGTTTCTGAAAGAATGTTGAATTCTAATAGAGTTATAGATCTTCAAAATAGGGGCAAGACATCTTTACTTTGTCACATCAGTTATTATTAGAGTTAGGTAATCGTCATCACATTAACATTTATATTCTTTCGTAGTTTGGATCGATTAATATAGGCAATAAAGCATCCTATGCCAATTTTAACCCAATATCTTGAAATTGTTGTGGCAGGAAAAGTTAATTTTATCACATTTTTAGTGACTTTGACAAATTTAACCTAAAATTGTTAAACTTGAGCTCTGATGTTCTGGACTATATTCTACCAATTTTTTCTGAAAGAATGTTGAATTCTAATAGATAGGAGTTATAGAATATTATATAGATCTTAAAAATAGGGGCAAGACATGTTTACTTTGTAACATCAGTTATTATAAGAGTTATTATAAGAGACTATTTCATTCTATAATCATTGTTTTTAACCTATTTACGATTTCGTATCATTTTTTGTGACAATGTTGAATGTAAACATCAACTGATCTTAACTTGCATCAACTACATTGTCATCATATAAAGTTTTCCCGCCTTTCAAACCAAAATCAGATATAAATAATTCGCCACAAATTTAAAATTCCATATATTGTGACAGAATTAACCTCATTTCCCAATAACCAAGTGCCTGTATTAGCTAACTACTCAAAACAACATATTTTAGGACTATGATTGGTAGATCAACCATCAAATAATGAGTTAAAAGGGTTTTGAGGACACCTCACAGTAGAATAGAGGTATGGTATTCTGAGTGTGACAAAGTTACCCAAATATTGCCTTGTAACCGTTCGATCCGTGCCCTTTAACCAATGTTGTATCATAATTGTTAGATTGACCTAATCTACTATATTTCAGACCAAGGAATGATAATTAGACAACTGCAGTTAACTAAGTCACACAAAATGTGACATTTGAAACATTATAGTGCCTAACAACAATAGATTTTCTTTCTGAGCAGTGCATATGGGAGTATGGGTTACGTGGCTAATGTTCAGAACTTCTGAACGTGCTAGGTTAATAGATGTCAAAATTAAGCCACTATCGTCAAAAACGCTATTATTTTTGTTTACCAATATCCTCAAACTCAAATGAACGTGTCCATATAACAAATAATTTGAGAATGGAACATTCAACAGTTACATTTACCTGAAAAGTCCAGTTTCCGTTGAATTGGCCGTATTTAAGGAATCATCAAAAATTATGAACACTAAAAATATTAGGTAAAAAAGAATCCAACAACCCCGGTGACAGAACGTGATATGAAGTACTATTTAACGTCAACTAAAACTTCAAAATTATTACTTGCAAAAATTTACTCATTAATGAATTACATAAGTGATGATAATAATTACTAAAGTACTAATCAAAATTAAAAACATGGATAAAATCTTTAAACGAACCAAACTAAAAAACTATTCTTATACCCAAAAATATAATAAAGAATCTGTAAAAATTAAGGTAGTACATGTACATTGTACATTGTACATTTGTCACAAAATGTCTTCAGGACCACAAAAACATGATAAGGAACTGAATTCCAAATATTATTGCTGTTTTATAAAGATACTCTTTTGGTCGAGTGTAGTTCCAAGTTTTCGTCGAAGCAATCTTATCGAAAATTCTCTTTGCAAAGTCTTGGCAGTTTTGATCTGTTACACTGTAATCGCTACAATCCTCCACAATTGCATCCAGATAACCTAAGAAATGTTTGAAAGGATAGTCAGAGCTATCCTCAATCTCAAGGTCGATAGGACCTTTCCGAGGAGATGGTCGCATACCTTCAACCACATCATCACATCTTATGCTTCTCCCGATGTAAATTCCGTCTCGCTGCTTTTCGAGGGATAGGCTTACACCATAACTTGTCTTCAACACCACAAATGCATGATAATCAACTGAAGTCCACTGTCTCCCAATTCGTTCTCTTATTCTTTCTCTTATAGAAGCAGTTGAACTTATGAATATGCCTTCTAGTGGACATTTGTAGACATAAACATGAGTTACGGTCGTGTCGTTAACAATGCTTTTATGATTGTAGCCGAAAACACTCTTAGCCACATTAAGATTCGGATTTAATTTGAAATAGCATGCTTGGCTTATCTCAACAAAAATTGTCTTTGCAAAGTCTTTGTTATAACTAGCACTGCAAGTAATGAACATTTCCTTTAAAAAGTCTTTGAAGCAACTAAAGGGATAGCTGGATTTACTGTCGTCAATAACATCGTAAACTTTAAAGTCATATCCATAAGATCGAAATAATTTTCTCCTAAACTCAATGGAGGAGGTACCATCTTGCTGCTTCTCGAGAGATATCAATACTCCACAATTCGTCTTTAGAATCACAAAATAAACATAATCAACTGTAGGCCAGGACCATTGTCTTCCAACAGTCACGTGAGTTACAAAAATTCTGTCAATTATCTTTTCATATTCGACTCCGAAAATTCTCTCTGCAATGTTGAGTTCTTCGTCTAAATTGAGACATCCCTCATTAACATTAATATTATTTAATGACTCATTTACAAATACCTCATCTGAAATTGAATGCTCCTTTTTGCTGTGAGCTGAACCCATGGTTCATGAAGTCAGATTAAGGCAAAATATCATGAGATTTCGTCCAGCCTGTCCCTCACCATCGACCTACAATAAAATGATCGTTCGTGGTTACTGGTTAACCAAGGTCATTATTAATATTAATTACAGAGGAACTGTTGGAACGCTTTAATATATTCAGTAATTATTGACTTTTTACTTAACAATCTACGACGGTTATCAATAATCATGTTTAGGAATACAATGCACTGACACGATCTTGTGATGAACTTTAGCAGTTAGCTTTCAGGATCAATTTCATACATGAAAAGAAATAACACACAAAATCTCCTTCATATCCCCATTCCATATAAATAATGATGACAGAGCTGATAAAGCGTGTCAGAGCAACACCAAAGGGCCTCACTTCCATTTTTTAACGAAAAATTAAATTGTTTAGCAAAATGTACAATGGCCTGGCCAAGTTAACATTCGGTAGACGTGACAAAAATGTTACCAGAAGGCGCAAAACATTGGTAGGTATATATATCGAGCATCAGCATATTATATAAAAATGGTTTTTCACTGTATCTCTAAGCCATCCTCAGAGATATCAGCAGGAAGAGTGTTCACAAAAACAGAATCAGTATCAACCGAAGATAAGAACTCCATGATTACAGTATTGTTAAAAACGTTATGATGGCTCACGAACTTGGGTAACTCGTCTTCTTTGGTATGTTCTGTGCATGTGTAAATATGGGGAACCTGAAAGTTAACATTGCCTTAATCATATTTCCATTCCGTTTGTGTACCTTTATTTTCTACACAATAGTGTAAAGTGGCTAACAGAGTGGTGGAGGGGGCATAAGTAGTATTAACTTATTAATTATATGTGAACGATCCTTTATTTCTAAAAACTTTAATATCACAATAATATCATAATTTTCAATCTAATAGAGATATAATACATATTAAAATACAATTAATATGATAAGATTAAATCTGATTTGCTCACCTGTTTTATCAATGAAGACGTAGTGGAGTGAAGCAGATAAGACTGGAACGAATTACCAATTAGCGTACAGTACTTTAACTGATCCCAGTTACTTTTCAAAACGTTATCGTACATCCTTTTACTGAAGGTACATTTTCTGGATTAAAGTTTATCATACATAATAATAATATCATTGCCATGGCCCTGTGCCCACGTGTACGACTTTTATAAACGATAATTGGCACGGCTATTATGTCATGTGGGGCACGCTGCAACACAATAGTCATGAAGGTACACACAGACTAGTAATTACTACACTACAACTAATGTATAATGTGTAAGTATACAGTATTACAATACCTACTGTGTATCATATAAAAGAGTGTATTACACATAACTCGTCTGCCACACATGTCGTTTTCTGGTAAAACCTCCATGTACTGAGCAATGAAGGTTCTCTCTGATTGTGACAGTACTGGGTCAAATACCAGACACCTGATAAAGTAATGGAGCATTAGGAACGTACCATCTAGAACACTAGTCACATTGTAAATCTGTTAAACTAAACCAACCTTTTGATCAATTAATGAGTTATTTTTGCTTTATTATTATCACTGGAATCAGTCAAAAGATGCTGATTTAAAGAAATTTGAGAAATAACATGATAAATTACAAACTTTTGAATTTGGGGAGATTTTTGTAGAACGTTTACTAAAACAGCAAACTGAAACTGAGCCAGCTTGCAGGTACTTAGTCTTCCTATACCATAGCATACTATCTGTTCAATATCTTGACTTGATATCACTTCACTGATCTTATCACAGAATACAGAGTCTGAAATAGCATGTACATGTTAACATTGGCTAATTGTACATTGTACATGTTAACACAGCTAAATGCACTTGTCAAAATAGCTAAATGTACATTTTACATGTAAACATAGGCTAAATGTTTGACAGGTTATTAAGTTCCAATCTCAGTTTTAGATTTGCACTTCTTATCAAAGGTAGAAACAATAACCGACAATAACTGTAAAATAACTGCAAAATAACTGCAAAATAACTGCAAAATAACTGCAAAATAACTGCAAAATAACTGCAAAATAACTGCAAAATAACTGCAAAATAACTGCAAAATAACTGCAAAATAACTGCAAAATAACTGCAAAATAACTGCAAAATAACTGCAAAATAACTGCAAAATAACTGCAAAATAACTGCAAAATAACTGCAAAATAACTGCAAAATAACTGCAAAATAACTGCAAAATAACTGTAAAATAACTGTAAAATAACTGCAAAATAACTGCAAAATAACACTCACCCTCAGTAAAGACCTGCTTTATAACACGAGTAAGATCCAGAGGATGATCCCACTCATCATCAACATTATTTACTGGTAACACTGGACACTTCTTTGATTTGATTCTGCGTTTTCTTGAAGGTTTAACCAATACAAATCCATCAGTTTCCATTCTCTCTGTATACCTTGATAGTGGGGTCAGTAACTTAACAAAATATTATTTAAGTACAAAAGATTAAATATACATTACTGTAAATTACTGCATGTTTTATACTGACGAAAATCCTTTTTTTTTTATTAAACGAGTTGAACACCACAGTAAAATGATAAAACCGTATTAAATGAAAATAATAATTGTTGCATCCAGCATATTATAAGTCTGCAAATAAAAACGGTAAATATTTTAAGCATTATGACCGCCGAATTTTTGATACCGAAAATATAAACATATAATATGAAATTAATTGAGTACTATAATTCGCATCATGAAACAAATCTGTAACAAATAGGCACAATACACCAAAAAGGTGGATGCTAAACTGACTCAAGCCCTCTTCTTCAAGCATGTTCCGTCCATGTATGGAGACATTGTTCCAAAGATACCCTTCAGAGAGTTCTTCGACTACAAGTTCCAGATAACGGTGGATGGTATGGTGTCGGCTTATAGAGTGCCTTTTATCTTGGGTGGACCAAGTGTTGTCTTCAAACAGGTTAGATATTGTTGTGGTGTGGATATTAACAAATCATTTAGTATAGTTTAAAATGCCATGAAACAATAAAACAAACACCTAGATAAAAAATTTGAGTTACTAATTATATTATTTTTTCCGGCACGCCTGCTGTATTAAATTCCATTAAAAATTATAAGCAATCAATAATTAATTCAAAATTTGTTGACTAAAATCATCTACGTCTATAATTATACCATCTTTCTAAAAAATTAACAATCGTTTTAAAAATATTAAAATATCATGCCTGACCAGCCGGCTATATAAAACATTTTCATAAAAAAATTCGAATAATCAATTAACTACAGACTTTTAAACTGCTAAAACAAACGTACACTGTAAAATTGATAAAAAATAAATCACAAAAATACTTCAGGACTCATTCTTCTACGAACATTTCTACGCAGACATAAAACCGTGGGTACACTATGTTCCCTTTAACCACAACCTCAACAACCTGATACAGCGCCTAAACTGGGCCCAGGAAAACGACCACTTGGCTCACATCATCTCAGAGAACGCCAGGCATTTTGTCAGAACCGAACTAAAACCGAGTGATGTTTACTGTTATGTTTACAGACTTTTTAACCGGTATGCTGAGAAGCAGTACGGAAAGGTTGAGGTGAGGAAGGGAATGCACGAGTTGTCAAAAAAGAGATCATGCTTTAAGTGCCCTTACAATACGCTCAACAAGTCAGAATTGTAGTGGAAAGCATCACACAGAACAATTTGTAAGCAGATTGGTTTGACAGATCACTAAATGAATGTATGAAAGCAATGGGTACAGGCTAGAGTGGTATATTTTCTGATACCGAATATTATTATTACTCAATTGGATTGTTAACATCACAATTTATGATTACCCACTTTATTTATTATGTAAATAACGTGTGCTTCATGATTCAAATAGATGTATGTTTACTTATCAGCTCAGCTCTCCTATGAACACGTTCCAAAGATCTAAAGATCGAACAACACAAATCGATGAATGAGGTGCCCAATCGAAACCATTTAAATAAAGATTTAAAAAGCAGTAGTATGGTATTGAGAGTAAAAACGTCATTCCAAAAGAATTGTTTTGAGAAGAGGAAAAAAAGCGATAAAAACATTATTTTAAAACTATTAATATTTGCTTAAACACAAAATAAATATTTAATCATGTTGGCGAACAACAAAATATGTGGCATTTTAAATCTATCCTGTCACATTCTATCAAAAGTCTTATCCAATAATTATGGAAACTAGATAATGAACGGATTACAGATTTGAAAATATGTTTATCTACAATTATAACCGGTATACCAATTAGGTATCATAACTATTCATAATTACCACTTCAGTGAGATACATTTTTTTGGATTTTTAAAACTTTTTTGAAAGAAAGACTATAACTAAAAGTAAATAATAAATCCTGTACTCTAAAAAATTAATAAAATTGTTAAAACACTGTAAAAAATTCTGTCATCTAATATGTAATATGTATGTATTACTATGATAATGTTAACATTATCAGTAAACATATCTATAATTCTATCTTTCAATCCATGTGTTGGGTTGGAATTTATTAGATATCCTAGTACATTCACGCCGTTCGTGAACTACACGATTGAAGAGGGCAAAGACTAGTCTTCTGAACAATGTTTATCTTTGTTTGCATCCTCTTTTGCATCTGGGCCTCTCTCGACAACTACGACATAAGAGAAATTCTTAGCCTCCATTGTGCTAGTACCACCAGGATACACCCAACATACGCCAGGTTTATACTTGTAGACAACCTGGTAGTAAGCTGCATCACCACCTGAGTATAATCCAGGAATATCATCTCCATCAACATGACAAACCACCGAGTAGATGGGCTGGTTATCATACTTACCTTGTCCCACAACTACACCATGTTTCGGTGGAGAACCATCAGCAGCTTTCAGCATTGCTTCATAGCCATCATCTGGGCGAATGAAATGGAAATCGGTTGTTTTACATACTTTCGGGCCGTATGTGTACCATGCATTTTCCCACTTCCTGCTAGCCAAGCCTGGCAGCCAGCCATGGGTACTATGAGTCATGACACACCACATAGGTCCCTCTGTATATCCCCACTTATCGTTACCAAGCATTACATCGGTACTTTTAGGGTCTTCATTTTCGCTGGACTGCACAAACGAATAGGGCCCACTGATACAGACATATCTAAAATCTTCTTCGTCATATTCTAGACCTTTCCACCCAAACTGAGAAATCACACCGTCAGATTTGCCGGGTTCGTCAGCAGATGATGTATCACAGATCACCATGTAGCTGGGTTTACCATCTAGTAGGTCCCCGTGTATCGCTCCAAGAGGTGGAGAATCAGCTTCCTGTACCGTCACCTTAGCACTCGGGTCTGCTTTCAGATAGGAGAAATCAGCTGTCATGTACACTTTTCCTTTGTATGTGTACCAAGCTTTGTCACCTATGGCCTTGGCTGGGATCGTGCCATAAGGAGTGTTTGCTAAAACGCACCAAGAATGAATTCTTCCCTCTATTATTCCATTCTGTACATCATACTTAAAACCCAGCATAAATTTCTCGTCGGGAGCTAGCTCATTGCTGGATACCAGTTCATAGTAGATCGGCATCCTTAATCCTTTTTGAGGGTAATATTGTGAAAAATAATTGATGATGTCAAAGAAGTAGATTCTTTAAATCAATGAAAAATGTACAGTTTAATCAATCGATACAAATTCTAAATCCAGTTCTCTTTCGACACTTTCTTTTCTTCAGCATTATGATATTCAAACCGTGAATAAAACCTTTATTATAGTAGTACTACAGTATAAGGAAATAATACAGCATTTCACTGAACTTCAGTATGATTTTAAAAAATGTATTCTAATAGTAGGTATACAGGTACGGTATGGTATTAAAAGTATAAACGTCATTCCAGCACTCTAGCTCGGAACCCAACCCAAGTAACCCAAGTAAGTAAGTGGTTTGGTTAAAAAGACAAACAGTTCATTGTAATATTTTTTTTCAAGCAAGGTAAAAAGTTCATTCCAGTGATATCGTTCTAAAAAGGTAAAAACTTAATTCCAATAGAATAATTTTAAAAAGGGAACAACTTCATTGCAGCAGTATGTTACAATTTAAAAACATTTGCCCATAAATCAAAATTTACAAAAAATATTATATAACCTAATAAAAACAAAAATTAATGTCATTTTATAAAATTGGGTCGTATAGAATCATATAAAAAATATAACTCCTAAATCAATTAAATTTACAGTCAACTAAAAATATTGTATGATAAGATCATTAAAACCTTAGCATAAAATTAAATTCAAACTTGTAAAGTTTAAATACATCTTTAAATAAGAAAACGCCTCTTGAAACTAGTATCTTTCATAGTCTCATTTAAATACAGTGAGATCTAAGCATTTAACAAAAGAAATATGTTGTCAATAATCTATATCATATTTTAAGAAGTCTTGCGTTTGATAGAGCAAGTAACTAATATTACTATATACTTTATGAATTAGTTAGTAGCGTTGTGTTTTGAAAATTTGGCAAATATATAATCAACTAAGCAAAATAAGAACACACCACCACACAGCAACAAAGTTCCCATGGGCATATACTCACATAACCGATGGACTATATCGATAAAGAGTGGGAAGATAAAGCATGATACATACAGAGGCGCTTGAGGTATAGTGTAGTACCATGTTTTTGTGGCAGCAATCTTATCAAAAATTCTCTTTGAGAAGTCTTGGTAGTTTTTATCTTTTACACTTTTATCGTTGCAATCTTTTTGAATTTCTTTCAGCAAGACTATAAAGTGACCAAAACGATAGTTTGAGCGGTCTTCAATCTCAAGGTCAACTGTACGCTTCTGAGGATATGATTCCATGCCATTAACTACATTATCGAACATGTTGCTTTTCGCAATGTAAATACCGTCGTGCTGCTTTCCGAGAGATATGCATACACCAGAACTTGTCTTCATAACCACAAATGCATGACTATTGACGGTAATCCACTTATACCGTCTCGCAAGTTTGTTTCTTATACAAGAATTGGAAGGTAGCAGAGTTTTGTAAACAGCAACTTGAGTAATAGTCGTGGTGTTAACAATTCTTTCATGATCATAGCCAAAAACTGTCCTGGCCACATTCAGTTGTGGAGTCACTTTGAAAAAGCCTTCTTGGCATATCTTATTAAATATTCTTTTCGCAAAGCCTTGGCAATCATTATAATTGGTAACACTGGAAGTATTCATAATGTCCTTCAAACAGTCTATCAAGCAACGGAAAGGACAGCTCGAACTGTTTTCAACCAAAAGGTCAACTGGAAGTTTTTGTGGAGTTGATGTCGTCCCTATGAAAATACCGTCCTGTTGCTTTTCCAGAGATAGGCATAATCCAAAATTTGTCTTGAGAACTACAAAGGCAGTCGAACTTCTGCGTATGCCTTCTATTGGGGTTTTGTAAAGAGCAACGTGGGTAACATACACCCTGCTAAGGATCTTTTCATGTTCGACTCCGAAAATTCTCTTTGCAATGTTGAGTTCTTTCTCTAATTTGAAACATTCTTCACTAACACTGATGTTATCTAATGATTTTTTACTGTAAGCTGAACCCATGGTGCATTAAGTCAGAATCAGGCCAAAATATGAGATCTCGTCCAATCTGGCCATCACCATCGACCTACAATAAAAATAGGTGGGTAGGGTAGATTACCATGGTAATTGTTACTGTAAACTACAGGCTAGGGTAAGACTAAAAATACTTTAAATTCAGTGGTAATTGTCATTAATCATTATGCTTGATAATATCTATAATTATTGTAATTGATACTTCTTTTTAGGAATAAAATTACCTGACATGACCTTAAAATGAATTCCTATCAGATAAATTTCAGGATTAATTTCATACATAAAGAAGGAATGAGACGAATAACACACAAAATTTCTTCTTCATATCATGCCAACTTCACAAAACAATCATTTGAGAGCCGGAATGGCCGTGTTATAGGCTAGCCAACAAATTAACTTATAACAAATTAAAGATTAGTTGGTCAGGGGTTTAGTGTTTTACTAAGTAATCTGTGTTTCACTGTATCTCTAAGCCATCCTCAGAGATATCAGCAGGAAGAGTGTTCACAAAAACAGAATCAGTATCAGCCGAAGATAAGAACTCTATGATTACAGTATTGTTGAAAACGTTATGATGGCTCACGAACTTGGGTAACTCGTCTTCTTTGGTATGTTCTGTGCATGTGTAAATATGGGGAACCTGAAAGTTAACATTGCCATAATCATACTAATATTTCACTTCCGTTTGTGTACGTTTTATTTCAACACTATAGTGTATAATAGTGTAAAGTGGCTCACAGAGTGGTTGAGGGGTCTAAAAAGGTCAAAATCTGGCATAAGTAGTATTATGTCATATGTGAGCGATCCCTTATTTCTAAAAACCTTACTATCACAATAATATCATAATTTTCAATCTAATAGAGATAATACATATTAAAATACAATTAATTATATGATAAGATTAAATCTGATTTGCTCACCTGTTTTACCAATGAAGACGTAGTGGAGTGAAGCAGATAAGACTGGAACGAATTACCAATTAGCGTACAGTACTTTAACTGATCCCAGTTACTTTTCAAAACGTTATCGTACATCCTTTTACTGAAGGTACATATTTTTCTGGATTAAAGTTTATCATACATAATAATAATATCATGGCCCTGTGCCCAGTGCCCACGTGTACGACTTTTATAAACGATAATTGGCACGGCTATTATGTCATGTGGGGCACGCTGCTGCAACACAATAGCCATGAAGGTACACACAGACTAGTAATTACTACACTACAACTAATGTCTAATGTGTAGGTATACAGTATTACAATACCTACTGTGTATCATATAAAAGAGTGTATTACACACAACTCGTCTGCCACACATGTCGTTTTCTGATAAAACCTCCATGTATTGAGTAATGAAGGTTCTCTCTGACTGTGATAGTACTGGGTCAAATACCAGACACCTGATAAAGTAATGTAGCATTAGGGACAGTACTGGGTCAAATACCAAACACCTGATAAAATAATTAATTAGGGACGTACCATCTAGAACACTAGTCACATTATAAATCTGTTAAACTTAACCAACCTTTTGATCAATTAATGAGTTATTATTGCTTTATTATCACTGGAATCAGACAAAAGATACAGTGCTGATAAGAAATTTGAGAAATAACAAGATAAATTACAAACTTTTGAATTTGGGGAGATTTTTGTAGAACGTTTACTAAAACAGCAAACTGAAACTGAGCCAGCTTGCAGGTACTTAGTCTTCCTATACCATAGCATACTATCTGTTCAATATCTTGACTTGATATCACTTCACTGATCTTATCACAGAATACAGAGTCTGAAATAGCATGTACATTGTACATGTTAACATTGGCTAATTGTACATTGTACATTGTACATGTTAACACAGCTAAATTCACTTGTCAAAATAGCTAAATGTACATTTAACATGTAAACATAGGCTAAATGTTTGACAGGTTATTCAGTTCCAATCTCAGTTTTAGATTTGCACTTCCCATTAAAGGTAGAACCAATAACCGACAATAACTGCAAAATAACTGTAAAATAACTGTAAAATAACTGTAAAATAACTGCAAAATAACTGTAAAATAACTGTAAAATAACTGTAAAATAACACTCACCCTCAGTAAAGACCTGTTTTATAACACTAGTAAGATCCAGAGGATGATCCCACTCATCATCAACATTATTTACTGGTAACACTGGACACTTCTTTGATTTGATTCTGCGTTTTCTTGAAGGTTTAACCAATACAAATCCATCAGTTTCCATTCTCTCTGTATACCTTGATAGTGGGGTCAGTAACTTAACAAAATATTATTTAAGTACAAAAGATTAAATATACATTACTGTAAATTACTGCATGTTTTATACTGACGTAAATTCTTTTTTTTTATTATACGAGTTGAACACCACAGTAAAATGATAAAACCGTATTAAACGAAAATAATAATTGATGCATCCATTATATTGTAAGTCTGCAAATAAAAACGATAAATATTATGATTTTAAGCATTATGGCCGTCAAATTTTTGATACCGAAAATATAAACATATAATATGAAATTAATTGAGTATTATAATTCGCATCATGAAACAAATCTGTAACAAATAGGCACATTGTGCCTATTTTGTCATGTATTTCAATAAAAAAACGATCAACATCACTAAAATACAATATTACTATGAAAACATGTTGAACATCATGCGCACTGCACAGCAGGATAAAAAACAGTCTGATATCACCTGAACTTCTGATCCATCAGCTTCTCCTGGGAACCCCTTCACGGCCATCAGCGTAGGGGAAGACTACACCTCACGTATATTGACATTCTGCGGAGGGAAACAGCTAGGAGATAAACAAGCTCATGATGGATAGACAGATCTGGAGAAACATCATATCTGCTCGGACATTGAAGCCACCCTAAGTCGAGTTAGTCATCACCTGCACCTACAACTCATCGAACGGAGACTTATAATATGCATCATCAGGATCCAATGCGTTATACACATCACCCCACTTCAACATGGCCGGGTTAAACTTACCCAGGTTCTGCATGTGGTTCCTGACCATGAGAATGTCTGACGGAGGAAGAGTGTCTTTAAACTGCTTCAACCCGATCACGTGGGTCTGAGTGACGTCATCAGTAGCTAGGGTCTTGCAGGTTTTGTTGTCGGAATGGGTGTCCTGCAGTGTGTAGCCTATCTTGTTGCCATCAAATACTGGTAACACGTTGCTGTAGCATTCCCGCCAAAATTCAGCGTTGATCTTTTTTAGCATGGCAACTTCTTTGTGGAAATCTTCGTCTTGTTCGGATATGATTCTTTGTAGCTTCTTGTAGAAGTGGTCGTAGAGTTTCTTATCGACAGAATTCCAATCAAGAATCTTCTCCCGTATTTCAGGTTTTATCCCGTTGCTGTATTCGTTGTTTACAGAGAGTTTCACGTATATCATGTGTTTCAGGTCCCAGCACATGAGTCGTCTGAGTAGAACCAAACACTCGTCTAACATTTCTATGATAATGACAAGATGAAAATCTTCATCAACCTTTTTTATCAGCTCATCAACAGCAGTTTCGTTGGGAAACTGAAGAGGGTTCAACCCCAGGTCAAAACTCATGCTGTTCTGTATAAGGTGAAACACAGCATCTGATGCCATCATGGATATTTTCTTGGGATTCCTAAAGAACTCCTCATATGGATTATGATGGGGTTGAAGATTTCTTATCTCTTCCTTGATGCCATGGTTATGGAACACTGACAGAAACTGATCAACAGGATGGCGAAGCAGGGTGGTAAAAATAGTCCCATCCGGCATTATCCTCAGGGCATCCATCTTGTGGAATCTGGAATACTGGCACAAGATACTGTAACCCTGAGGAGGCTTCACAGATTCTAAGTAGTGCATGTTAATCCTACCCGGGTAGTTCAGGTTGAGTTTAAGAGCGTTCATCACAAACTTGAGGTCATGTTCCTGACCGTATCTATAGAAAATGTTCGTTATGGATGATGTCCCGGTTTGGTGTGTTCGCAGGAAGTGTAGATTGTGTTTGGGCTTGCATTGTGGGTCTGGTTTTTTGGGTATTGCATACCATTCAGGTGGATAGACCTTCCCAGGGTTGTAGATCCATGAGTCAGTTTTTATAGGGACTTCAGGATCAATGTCTGATTTCAGACGACGCTGAGCTTTGGGCCAGTTTATTGAGGTGAGCGTGTAGTAAAATATGTAGATTCCTAAGATTGTTACTATGATCTGCCATTCTTTTTTGATTCGTTGAATTACCTTAGCTAATGACATCGTGGCACTGAATAATTAGAGATTAGTTTGGAGATTATTAATATTGGAAGATTTTCAGTAGATGTGATACAGTGAACAATATAAATATAATACATTTTCAAATGGATCGAAGTATTTACTAGGTTAGCAGGTTAGTAGAAAGCATTAAATAAATCGACATTCAAAACGAGTTTCATTATAATGATATTTACAAAGGCAATAACCGAACATTAGCAAACAAACTTATAGTTATATTAGTAAAGGATATGAAATTCGCGTTGTCAGGATTCAGGAATATTTAGTTGGATGATAACTTTCAATAATCAATAATGTTGCGTTAAGAAATTTCAGGGCATTATATAAACTCATATCAAAACTTACTTTTCAATATCTCCTTTATCTTTCATAATTTAATAACAATTACCCTACTGCAATACTAAAAGAACTGGAATTAATAACAATTAAAAATTACAAATAATATATCTGAGAGTGAGGGTCTACAATTGATTCAGCTGAACATTGGGTCACTTATCAATGTACTTAAATAATACTCCCTGATTTCATTATGATCACGAAATAGTCTTAACCGGAAATCAATAAATTTCCACATGTTAAGCCCTTCAATAGAGCTAATAAAACAAATTTCTAATCAGTAAGTCCATGTAACAAAAGTAAACTGTTACAAAAATACTAGAGCTCAAGTATTTACAAGTTTGCACATGATTGAAAAACTAAATAGAAGTTCCAGTTGTGTGTTTCATCTGACGAGTAGATCTAAGTTGTTTAAAATCTGAAAGCCCATGTTCACGCTTTAAGAAACAAAGCTGCTTGTGACACATCGACAGCTCCCTCTTCTCGTTTAGCAAAGCAGCTGTACAGCCACAGTGCCCAGGCTATTAGTCTGTTCCTCAGGTCCAACACAAAGAAATGCCACTCAAACTTCGCCTGGAAAGTAACGATTATCAGCAGATTCGTTATGTTTTCTTATTATTGTATAGGTAGCTGGTAGATTTTGTTCAAAATAAAATGTTGCTAGACCGACGATAAATGTATGAAATTAAAATATACGGTGAAAATTTACTTGAGATTTAAGCTTAATAATGTCTGCAGTATAAAATGTTCAGCTTACCCGTGATTGAAGATTTGTGAAGAAATCTTCATCCTTTTTCGAGTTCTTAACGGCCACTTCTGCCATGAGTCTTACTCTGTTTATTGGTACACCAAACGATAAGTTTATTCCCTGATGGCGTGATTCAGGATTAGAATTAGAAAACTGGTTGTCTGAAAATGTTTTTCTTGATTTCGAATTTGAGGAATGAATTGCATTAAGTTTAAAGATGCTAGTCCCCCCGAAATACTGGCAGAGTTGAGGAACATGGCACACTAATGGCTTGTAAGATGTGGTAAGTCACAACTTACTTTTTAAAACTGAAAAGGGGGAAACTATGTAAAATATGCAATACCTGGATAAGACGGAGGTTTCTGAAGACAAGAGCTAGTTCCTTTGGTAAGGTGTCAAGAGTATCATGTGCCATGTGCCGTATTAACTCCATTTGTTCCTTTTCTTCTTCATTCATGTCTATCACCTTCTTTCTACGCTCACCATGCATCCCTCCGAAACCCAACTCCTTCATTTTACCGTAGGGTTGGAAAAACAAAAGGGTGGCCATCATGTCAGGAAAATTTAGCCCAAGTATTTTACCACTACTTTGAACTTCATCATGGTCATCAATGATTACAGAGTGCCAGAAGGAGGCGAACGCTTGTCGATACTCCGTTGGCAGGTGCTCATAAAGCCCGTGATCAATCACCACTATCTCTGTTTTTCCAGTTCGGTGATTTTTTCTAACCATTAGGTTTCCCGGATGAGGATCACTATGAATATTTCCAGTTCTGAAAATTTGTTCTGAGAATATTCGAATAACCTTGGTCATGATTTCTTTAGTATCAAAGCCAGCAGCTTTAATTTTCTCAGCATCAGTCAGACTGATTCCTTCAGCAAAATCCATTGTTAAAATTCGCTTGCTGGTCAGTTTCCAATGAACTGCAGGAACATACATAAAATCCAAATCTTTCAGTTCATTCTTACATGAATCAGAATTTCTGCCTTCTGTAACAAAATCTAATTCTTTTTTAAGGCTATCAAAAACATGAGGCATGACATTCAGGAAGGGGATACCAGGAATAAACCAATCCAATACTCGTAAAAGAAAAAGACAAGTTCCTTTGTCCATCTTGAACCTTTTAGCGATATCAAAATACTGAACTTTAATAGCAACCTTCTTTCCACAATGAGTCTGTCCCAGAAAAACCTGGGCAATAGAAGCCCCTGCTATAGGGTCCCGTTTGAAATTTGCATAGAGTTTCTCTGGTTGTGCACCAAGATCTTCTACAAACATGTGTTCTATTTCACCACTTTGCCTCTCAAAGATATTGCTCAATAAAGGTTTCAATGCCGCAGCAAACTCTTGTGGCAACATAGATGAATAAGTAGCCATACCCTGACCAATTTTGATGTAAGACCCACCGTTAACTAGCATAACATTAGCAATACGATTAGCTGCGAATTCCCAAAACTTGTGTTGAATTTCTTTGTACTTCTGCTGTTCTGGTGTCAGCTCAACTTCCTCGACATTTTTTCCATTTGGTTTACCAAACGGGTTTTCGTCAGGCTGTTCTGGTTTCACCACGCCCCAATATGAATATTTGTAAACAGCCATGATTAAAGCAGCGTTAGAGACAGTTCTAACAAAGCGGACAATACCAGTTAACATAACATTGTGATCTGAGAGATTCCACTCAGATGGTGATAAAGTTGAGTATCCGACACAAAACACTCCATAAGCTCCACCCAGGTAACCAAAAGACTTTAGAGGAGTCCAAATAACAGTAAGATTGACTTTCAAAAAATCGATTGTATACTTGAGAAATTGTCTTGACCTGTTTAACGGATATGGTTTGGTAGCAAACATTCTTACACATGGCTTAGCTGTCCTTGGTAATACACGGCAACATTTTAAAGTAGATCTCGGCTGAAGCCGATTTATAGATTGTCTGATCATTTAAAACCACCTCCTCACAAGTATCAGATCATGTTATCATTTACATTTTCAGTTGGCCAGCTTGATCGAAGTCCTTTCCTTCATTACCAATTAATATCCCTAAAATATCAGGTTGTTTTTGAAAATACAATTTGCAATCAAAATTGGGTACACAGAAAGGGTATGATATAATATGATAATATCATGAACACTAATATTATCATAAACTCATAAAAAGTACATAATATGTATGGACCACACAATATTGAATAATAATAATAATTGACATGTTTGTCACTTTTTTAAACTTTCATTTTTCAAGTCAAGTAACACGCCAGAGTTTTTAAAATTATTCGATTTTGTGAACAAATAAGATGCACAAAAATAATTACTGAAAAACGATTCTTTATTCATAGATTCATAGAATTAATGTAGACCATACTTCACTGAACAAAGCATAAAACTAGAAATCCGTTGGGTCCGGGTTTGAATTATTATTATGTATAATGCTCAACAGTGAAGAGTGTGATCACTCCGTATTACATGGTAAAAAAGTTTACTGCAATCATACATAGATGAGTGATTACAATTGGAAATCAAATATTATAAAATAATATAAAGTGCAGCAACTTTAAACATAAATTCCAGCGAATCATAAACACAAACAAAATAATCAAGTCTGAACACATAGAATTCGAATCTTTTGCTGGCATCAGTTATACTGTCAATCAAAGTACAGCACAGCAGCATTTTATCTTCAAATATTTCAGACTGTAGATATAAGTCCAGAGCGGAGAGCGTAGACAGCACCAGACAGTGCATAGTGAAACAGATCAATGCGATACACCGGCCCTATCTTTCCTGAAACAATGATCAAGTTAGGCAACTGGAACATTCAGTCACCTTGTCAGTGGCGTAACGTTGCCTGTTGGCGCCCCCCTGCCGAAAAAAGCGCCCCCCTGTTGGCGCCCCCTCCCTTTTGGTGCCCCTCCCTAAAATTGAACAAATTAGGTGATTTTAGAGAATACGCCGGTAAAATCTCTAAAAAAGTGTGTATCTAGAGCAAAACGCGCAGTTTTGCTAGTACTTTAGTTAAGTTTTCGAAATTGTCCCGCATTCAAACGACGATTTGGCGCCCCCCTAAGACGGCGCCCCCCTGCACAGCGGGGTCAGCAGGGCCTTTCGTTACGCCACTGCACCTTGTCAACAACAAAAATACGTGCTGACAGTGAATAACTATCGAATGATAGACAGCCGAAATCTGGGGACAGGAAAATAATAAAGAGATAAAAGTGGCAAATATCAAATGTTGCCAAAGGTTTGGCGAAAATAACCTATGTCCAAATATAATTAGCATAAGTAAAAATACCTGTTACTCCAAAAAGTCCAGAGAGCAAGAGTAGCCCACTAGCCATGAGGTAGTTTTGGTTGCTGTTGATGATTGCAGAGTATGTGAGCCCGAGAAGTGTGGCAGGAACCAACATCTTCCGGGTATTCTCGTACTGTAACATTGAATAAAATGTTTTGAACCTGTCTCCTTGTTCAGAAAATACCATCAATTTGAATCTTCTATAATGAGCCTGATCCAAGCCCCTTTAATTAAATTACAATACTTATAATTTACCTGTGTGGTACAAACATGCATTCCAAGAATAATTAAGATATCCCAGCCAGGTGAAACAAGAGATAGCTTGGCTCCTTGGTTGAGTTGAATGGAAGCAAAAAGGAGAAGCATCCAGGGAAAACCCACTGCTCCACCGTGAAGAGACAGAGTAGTGTGAATGTCCTTGACAGAGTCACAACCACTAAATCGTGCTACACCAGCAAAAGCAGCCAGGCCTGCTAATATGAATCCGTAGATCAGGAAAACATTTTCCTTTTTCTGAAAAAAAAGGTTTATTCAGATAACTTGGGCAAGCTTCACAAGTGAACAAATCACATATTTTTAAAAGTATCTAGATGCTGCATTGAGCAATTGAATAACTCTTA